GAAAAAGACCAAAGTTAAGTCATACTAAGCATGCCAATATAACAAACTACGAGAATAGAAGGTGAGCTTACTTGAAAGCTGAGCCCACAAGCTCGACACCTCACCTGAAATCAGTGGCTTGGCTCAAACCCAAAGTTGTTGTCCCAATTTCTCTCACTTCTTGGAGTTTGATGGATGAGATTAAACTGAATTTTATCTTTGGTAGTAGCTTGGATTCAAAGGAGACGAACTAAGGGTGGAACCTAGGGTCCATGGGTGACGTCCAGGGTCTACAGTTGAGTAATGGAGTATGGATTCACCAAGGCTATGTCGATATGGGTTCAGAGTGGGCTCAGAGGTCTGTAGAAGGTGGGAAATAGGGTTTTGGTGTCTAGGGTTTCTAAGGGTTCAGAGCCAAGTATACATTGCAGCAAGGCTTCCTATTCTCTTTAAATCTCGGTCCCTGGAAACCATAGATGAGGGCTTATTTATAGGTAAATATCCCTGAAAACTGCTCCATTAAGTGGCGGCTCAATCTGAGATGTTGATCATTTGTGAAATACACTTACTCACGAGCGTAAAATCATTCGCTAGCATCAAAGGGTATTACGTAGAAGTTGGTGGACCCCATAATTTGGTAGTTTCGTGCCACCTGTCACATTCTATTCTTCAGAGCGTTAAGGCAGCCATTTTGGGTGCGCCTTAGTGCGATAAATCGCTTGAAAGTGGATTTAAGGGGATCAAAGTTATGTAAAAAACGAGGGTTTAGTGGGGATTATGGTGTCATTAAGATTAATGGTGATGCCACAAGTTTAGGTTAGGTGAGTTTTAAGTCATTTTAGATCGCTTAGGACCTATCTTGGAAGGTTTAAATGCGGCATAAGCCTAAATAGGAAACTTTAATAGGGCCTTGTAAGAGAGCTAGGGTTTACGGAAATGGACAATGGAGCATGTTTGTAGGGTGGACTAAGGTGTAAGGGTGTAGTACGGTCCCCTGTGGGGTTTAGGCTATAAAATAGGTTTTGGTCAAGAAGAACCCTAGGTTTTTTGTTCAGGTTTGGTCTAAGAAGGGCCTAAGCCTATATTCTAAGTTCTCCAAGGTTTTGGCTTTCTGGAACTCATTTAACCAAGAAATGGGTGTCGAAAGGGTATTTTGGCCACTATTTTTTTTGAATTATTTTTTTAATATTTTATACAAATGTGTTTGGCACACACACTCCAAATTTCATCTTGATCTAAAATTGGAGTAAAATAAAATAGGATGAAAACAAGGCCAATATTTTTAAATGACCAAAAGGTCCATATTGAAGTTTACCTAAGAGCTATTGATCTCAATTGTCTAATCTTATGTTGGTCAAGATCATGTCTGAGTATTTGAATTTTATCTTTATTCATATACTTGGGAATGAGTTGAAGTTTGGGGCTCCATTCTTCTAGCCCTTGCCACCTCTAAAAATGTAAAAAATGCTATCTCAAAAAAAAATAAAACGACCAAAATACACATAAATCTATGAGTCTTTTGGTCATCTTATTTTTCTTGAATATAGATGTGCCCTAATGAGGTGCATAAACCCTCCAAATTTCATTAAGTGTAGATTTTAGAAAAATAAAAAGAAAAATTCAGACAACAAATTACTAAATGAACCTCTAGTCCAAAGGAAGAAGAGGGAGCTCCCAAACTTTGCATTTCCATATAGGAGGGTGGGGTACAACCCTCAACATTTCGGAGTGCGAGCATTCATTTCACCACCCTTGTAAGGGGTTCCTAATTGACAACCAGGAACTACTGCAGTTACTAGAACTTTTTCATGCCAGGCACTGAAAATTCCGGTTATGAGACGCGCCTTGAAGGCTTAGCAAAAAGAAAGATGCCTACCATATCTTCTTTTAGTTCATTAATACATTATATATCGGGCTTTCTTATGGTTATTTAAGCTTAGAAGGTTACTAACTACTTGTATGCTTAGAAAGCGTGGAATGATTATGGTGAATGTATGCTTATTATGCAAGCAGAATGAAGATATTGTTGATCATTTATTTTAGAGATGCAATTTTACGAAATCTGTTTGGCAGTGGTGTTTTGGGATGCTTGGCGTTAGTGAAAACATATCTACTCAGATGGAAGATTTATTTGGGACTGGCTGAGGAGGGGTCTTGGGTCTAAAAGAAGGATAACAAGAAAGGCAGCTAAAAGTGGTACTGGTCTGGGCAATATGGAAAGAACAAAAGAAGAGGTGTTTTGAAGGTTTTGTGAAATCAGCAGTTGAAATGCAAGACAAACTAAGATTTATTGTGGCTAAATGGTTAACCACCAATAAAAATTGGTGGGGGGTTCCAGTATTGGATCTGATGTATAACATCAATGGTCTAAAGAGAAGCATATTGGTATTTGGAAATGTCCTGGGTGGATCAAAGTAAATTTTGATGGCAATTTCATAGGGAATCCAGAAAATACAGGTATGGGAGGTTTAATTCGTGACAGCCAAGGAAATATTTTTTTAAAATTCTACGGTCGTCTTGGTGTAGTTACAGCAAAAGAAACATAAATTCGTGCTATGCTGGAAGGTGTTAAGCTAGCAAATAGATTTCAATAAACCAGTGGTAATTGAAAGGGACACATTAAATGCTATTAATTGGGTGAAGCAGGAGGTTGAGTACCCATGGAACCTTCACAGTGTTATAAGGGAGATGATGGTATGCTGCTCGAAAATGGTATGTACTTTAGTACATGTCTATAAGGAATGCAACATGGAAGCTGATGCTCTGGCAAATTAGGTGTTTTTGCGACTGAATTGATCATTTTGTAAAGTAGGAGATAGATTACAGGTGGGCGATTTGTATTTCCTTTCTTTTCGGTTGTTGTTTGTAGTTTGATTGTTTGATGTCCTTTAGTTTGTAATGATGTAAAAGGTGAGAAGTTTATAGTAATAAAATTGTGACTGTTCTTAAAAAAAAAAAAGAATATTGATTGTCAAGGAATGCACTGGATTCAACTACATTCGACGAAGCCAACCTTTTTTAGATTTTTCGACATCAATCAAATTACTGCGTGCAAGAAAGATGCCAGAAATTGCTGGAATGTGTTGATGGAGATTGTTGTATGCGTTAAAGGGTGCATTTCTGCATTTGTGTCTCCTGAGGTATAAAACATCCATCTTAAAGATAGATGTTAATGGGTGTTCCCTGTAATAATAGCTTAAAACTAACGATTTAAATTTTTTTTTATAAATTTATCATTTTTAGCTTTTGAATTTTATTTATTTATACTATTTATGTTCTTCATGTTAAAGATTATATATCCATTAAAAATTAGGTCTAAAATCCATGTCAAAAATAGATTTTTAAGAGGGGACTCATACTAAACCATGTCCTTTGGTTAATAGAAGTATTGGAGGGACGTGCATAGTGGCCAATTTTTTAAAAGAAAAAATTTATATAAGATGTCAACTAGAAATAAAGTGCACTCCAAATACCCATTCGATCCAAATAACCTTTCGATAAGGTTACTCTAATGTCGAAAAACCGTACAGATGATCATCTCAACCTCAAGATGTATAGAGAAAAAAAAATTGCAAATCAGAACTAATGCATCTTGTAACAAACTATGTAGACCATCCATTTTTCAAAATATTAAAATGTCTATAAATCTTCCCAACCTATACTATTTTTAGAACTCCAAATTATTTAGGGATAGAAAATAGATTTTTTTCCAACACTAAAATTGCACCTTTTAAGGTTATTAAGGCTAAAACCTTTTACAAATCATACCCTTTTATCCTTGTACGCGAAAGACGTTTGAAATAATAGTCTTTTGGAAATAACACGTAGGAAGTATGAGAAAAGGATATAGGAAAAAGAGAATACGAACAGGTCACGAAACTGCCTCGAACAAAATGGGCTTTGCACAAACGGCTGGAAATTGGAAATGGAAAAGACTAAGACGAAAATGGTACCCTTGGTTGATTGAGGAGGACAAATTGATCACGGAATGGGATTGTTGGTTGCTTTACTGAAGAAAGTGGGGCACCTCCTCCATTTTAACTCCATTTTAACACAGTCAACACGACTAGTTAGAGTTTGAAAGCAATGTCTGCCTACTACTGCAACTTGAACCAAACTTTGTTTTAGTGGGATTATTACAAGGATGGGGGAGGAGAGTTTGAAAGCAATGTCTGCCTGCTACTGCAACTTGAACCAAAGTAATCCCACAAGGATCGGGGAGGGGTGCAGTTGGCATACGGATGCAGCCGTGCCTTCAATTTTATCATGGTATATAATTTTGATGTAAAATATGTTTAGGATTATCTCAAAAACTATTTTTATATTTAATTATAAAATTTAAAATTTTAAAAAATAGTTAAAATCAAACAGATCTATAAACATATAGAAATCTTGAAAATGGACTATAAACATAAGGAAATCTTAAAAATGGACGGTGTAAATAATATGTTGTAAAATGTACTATTTCTTAAACTTAAAATCTTTTTATTTTTCATGGTCATACATCTCAATGTCAAAATGATCAATCAAAGGATTTTCAATATTAAAACTACTTTTTCCCATGGATTTTTGAAGTGCATCCGTAACCCTACATTATAAAGTTGCAACCTTATATAAACTTTTTTCTTCTAGAGTCATGCATATACGCCCTCCCTCTAAAATTTATTTTAGATGATTTTTTTTTACTAATTTTTTTTGTAGACCCATCATCTAGATCCGATCATAAACATGAGAAGAATAATAAACTTTTAAAATTAAATGTATAATTTTTAGTATTTTTTTTAATGCGCCGTTATTATCTTATTTATGGACATTACAGTGTAGATAACGTCCATCTTAAAAGATGGACGTTTGTAAGCCAGCGGGCTCTTGCGCCCGCGGGCTCATGAAACAATTTTTCTTGCTTCAAATCTTGACTTATTTGTCAACAAATAAAATACTAGATGTCATCATTCGAATACAGATTCTTAGGAGTAAAATTGACAAAATAATCAAAATGAAGGAGCAAGGCAAGATAGACATCAAGACCAAATGGAAAATGTGGGTTCCTAAAATTCATAATAGCAGTAAAAGCACAGATCCAAACTAACAACATCATAAAGAAGGGCAAAGTAAGACTGAGACCCGAGACAAAAAGTAAAAGATATCGATCGCTCGATAACCAGTGAGAGCAAAAACACGAAATGAATCAAAATGGACATCACAGTTTGAAAGAAACGCCCTAAGGGATTGCTAGTTTATGGGAGTGGTCCAAAGACTTCCAAGATGATTCAAGCCTCAGTAGGTGCAGCTTCTCCACAAATGGCTCCAAGATCTCCGCCTCCTCCACAGGTGCAAAAGCCATGCATATGCTCAATTCTTGCACGGCTTCTCCATATCTCCTGCACCACCCGCCCATGAATGTGTCAGTGTTAACACGCTTGCTCAATTACCACCTCCAACCCCCCACCCCCTTCTCTCTCTCTCTCACTCACACAACACACTAAATAACGTGGTTCAGTTCAACAATCAATTCCTTTTTATAGGTCATTTTTCTAGTCCTTGTATAATCTATTATAAACTGTGAAATGGATGGGCACATGACTGGAAACAAACCGAAGATATGCCTGTCCTACCTGCAATGGTACAGGAGCATTCCATGGTCTCTTCTAAGTGCCCAATTATGGGGTTGCAGAATCAGAAGCCTCTCTGATGCCATGATAGCCAACCTGCAAGATAGAAATATTTCATTCATTAAAAACAAAAACAAATCAAGCCCATCCTTGAACCCTTAAATTCAGCTTTTTCAGTTTCACCAAATCAGACCACACAAATAAATATTTCAATAAAAAGCCCCATGTAAAGTTTAAGGATATCGTTTATACCTCAACTCTTGAGGGCGCAATAAAGGGGCCTTAGAACTACCATCTTTCTTGACTGATGCATCACTGACATTATTGACGGGTCTAAGCGGGGAGGTTAACATCAATCCATGGTTCATCCTAGAAGCACGTTTCCAATGAAGCCTCTGCAAAGAAGATAAAAAGCGTGACAATGATGCAATACCAATGGTGTACTACAAAAGACTGCCAAAATTTATTTGTCATAAACAACGTTATCACTAAGTGTAGAGACTTACTATCAGATTCGCTAACGCAATCCCAATGATATCTCTTTTACTTGCAATTTCTAGTCCTGAAAGTGACATACTATTCAAGTCAAAAGCCCTTGACCTCGGATCCTCAACACATCTTCCATTAACTATAGCAAACAAACTGCGACCAGAATACACCTTGAAGAGTTCCTGCAAACAAATAAATTACAGGCCAACAAGCCCCAAGGTGCTAAATGTGTCAGCAACTTCAATTGAATAAGAAGGCTTTTAGACCCAGAGACCCAACTACAGCTTCAATGTTGAAGGGCAAAAAGAACAAAAAAATGACTCCATAAGGAAAAGTTAAACATATAAATAGAAGCACACATATATCAGAACATGACCATATTGGCTTTACCTCAAAATCTCCAGTTTGGGGCCATATCAAAAAATCTTCCCCAACTCGAGCTCCTACCATGGTAATGCCAAGTCTCATACATACTTCAATATACATGATGCTAAACATAATTGCTGCAATAGTAATATAGTTGTGTCAAAGGGCTGGATCAAGACCAAAATAAACTACAACAGAACCAAGGAATCTGAGTCTTGAAGGCTTTCTAAGACATGTAACTAACAAAAGGAAACAACTAGGGCCTTTAAGAGATTTATCTACAACTGATTTTAGTTGAAGAATGGCTATTTACAGCTATGTGAATTTTTTAGCAGTAAAATAAATGCAATATGTGACTAGGAAGAGTGGCAACATGAACTAACATGCAGAGCAGATTACAATGTTTCAATAGCCAACATTACTTCACTACAATGATCGTAAATTAGCTTGGTCACCACTATAAACATGAGGTAGAGGTTAAAAGAGGAAGCTCACCACTGCAATTTCCAGAGCTTATTACCGAGTGCAAGTATGAGTGCTTTGAATCTACGAGTACAGGATATCTTTTAAAGCACCTAGACTCAAAAAGAACCATATTTACAGCCTCCAGAACCTGAGGCAAATGGCAACCTATGTCTCTTGAGACTAACTCTGCTTCCACTTCTTTTGCAATTGTATCCAACTCAGTCATCCAACCAGATATATTCTTGCCAGCCAAAGGGATGTCCTCAAGTTTATCCCATTCAGAATGGGATTCAATGGCGAAGGTAGATTCCCTCCTTTCATTTAATATTGAGCGAGTATCCATATCACGATTGAATGCCATAAAGGCTTCATCCTCAGCAGCAACACATAACAATGCCTGCAATGACATTCACAAATGGCGAAATGGACAATCGCTTAAAACAATTTTTTCTTTGATGGCCACAACCTACGTGTTTTTATGACAAACACATCACATATTATACGCTCATCTTGTATAAGCAGGACTTAACCCGAGAAAAGATGATTGTCTTCAAACATACTCAATCATCCACACCTTTTGAATTCAAGCTCCAAGCAATATCGGAGGTAATACATCTCTAAACACATAATGTGCCTGTAAAGTATACCATAATCAAAATGGACTATGAATACAACATGCAACATACACATGAAAAGAACATTCAGATTTTGCAGGCATGACAAATGAACACCATCGGTATGCATCTATCTATACATGTTGAGGACCCTTGGTGTCTTTTGACCAAGGGAAAAGGCTAAAAGTAATTGCCAATAAAAATTATTAGGCAAAGCAGTGTATATCAATAAATAAACTCTCGGAATCTAATTGTCCAACAGAGCTCGTTGGGCTGGACAACCGGTTACACTTCTAAATCGAAATGTTAAGATAAATCCAAACACTGGCCTTGCGAAACCCAATCTTGATACTCTTTCAGTACATTCATTTGGATGGTCACCATGCAAGCTCCTCTCCACAATTGATTCGCCAGAGTTAAACAATAATAGCAAACTGTATTATATAAGACCAGTGTTTAGGAACTTGCCTCGGGCCAGGGACTCAGTGCAGGCCCAAGGCAAGATACTCAAGCGAGTCGCAATGTCCTGTATAGGGCCAAAAGCCCTACAAAAATTAAAAGGAGAAAGAAAATTATGAAAAAAAATAAAATAACAGTAGTAAAAGTAAAATAAAACCGAAACCAATATTAAAAAGTACAAATAAGCTTAAAATAGTATACAAAAAATGGATTTAAAAAAATTGTTAGTTGGGGACATTTTTTAAAATCCAAAAAGGGGAAATTATAAAAATAGGGATAATGGCAATAGACACTCACCAATCTTTGCCAAAAACATCTACCATCTACAAAAAATTTATACGATATTCCCATATTTTTACCATTTTTTGGGATTTGTTTGAATTTCTTTTTATGTACTCCGAGTTGTACAGTTGTATGTACAACTCTGTATGTAAAACTCGGGGCAACTCAGCCTCGAGGCCAAGCCCATGACACTGTATATGACTATCTATGGTTGTGAACCTTGATATAAAAAGGAAATCCAATTTCAAATCATCCCAATCCAATTTCAGATCTCAAGCAAGTAGAATTTCATGAGTGTTCTGCTACGCTATTAATATGAATATGCAATGCCGACCTTCTTAAGCATTTATGCAAAGCAACCCAATGGGGAACTTCGTGTGACCAGATCAAGTTTCAGTTTTTAACTTTTACAATGGCCCTTCAACTTCCTTATTGAATAACCTCGAAGGAGAATCATAAACAATGTTGTTCCTGACAAAACCCTAATCCAGGAATTTTTACAGAAATATTTTGATGTACATTTCTAGAATGGATTAAATAAATTTTTTTGCCTTCTCCCTCAAGTTAAGTACTCTCTCTCTCTCTCTCTCTCTCTCTCTCTCTACTACTAACTAAACGAAAACGTAAAACGTAAACGTAACGTACGTAACTAATTACTTATACTATACTACACTACTACTAACGTAACTAACGTACGTACTTACGTTACGTT